ACAATCAAGTATTATTGGATCATACTTCCTCCATTCAAAAATGATTGGGACAATTAGTTTTTGTAGACGTCAATAATGATTCGAACAATTGCAACAACACTTTATTATTTGTCCGAGTTATTTGTTTGCAGGAATGGGTCCCCGCCAACAGCACTCAGAGCAAGAATACCCATTTAATATCATGTCAGTTGGTTCAGTAGTTTATAAGAAAAGAGAGATCTTACCGGGGGGCGTGCGACAGCTGCCAAGAACATTGTCTTGGGCACGAACCGCTTGCTTTGGCGGTGTCTTGCGGGTGGCTCTTCATCGGGAAGGAGCAAATAGGGTCGCTCGTCGACGTCAGCGTCGAACCACTTCTTGTCCATATGCACCATGGTATACATACCCTCGAACTCGAAGGTATGCTCGTCGATAAAGATCAGTATCCATCGCATGCGCGCAAGTTTCTGGATGTCGGTTAACTGGGGCTTTATACAGTCGTACGACGTGTCATGTGGCCTTCTTTGAGTAGCAGATGTAGTAGCCCTGTCGAGACGCCGACGGCAGCAGCAGTACGTTCGATTCGCTGGCGGTCAGCCACGGGAACCGCACCAATTTTTGCTGCCAGCTCTGCTCGATCATACGGTTTACGGCCAGGCTTCTGCTTGATCCTGCTCTCGGGGGCTCCGTCAGCAACACCGTCCGCTACATTTCCGCAGTAGCGCGCCCAAATTCGCTCAACCGTGTGTCTGTGGCACTCGTTTTTGCGTGCTAGCCTCGCATACGTTCCATGTGGCACCTTGCCGTCCCTAAATGCAAGCAGGATGTCCTGAACGACTGCCCGACGTTCCTGATCAGTGAGGTTGGGTTCCCGCATCTCTGTGGCACAAAAACTTTAAAACTAACGGCTCAGCGAGTAAATGTAAAATGAAGTTGTCGAGGCAGCGCACACCAACCATCACAGCTCCACCAATTTTTTGCCGACAAAAATAAAATTTGTATGGCTGTAAAGCTCTAATCGCCCTCTACGGATTGAGCCAATCAGCGAGAACATTCGTGCGATTTTGACAAATCTGCGTTTCTTTTGGTGCATATGTCCCAATCATTTTTGAATGGAGGAAGTAGTCGGCAAAATCAAACAGTGTTATTGGTGAAATATCATTTTATTTAGTGGCCTGGCTTAGCAATTCAACTCCAGTTCGTCCTCAAATCCAACCTTTAGCCCTACCCACCCTTGCTTAGGACCAGCCTTTAAAGGTCAGATTGGCCAAAACTTTGGAAAGGCACAATACATTTCACGTCTGCATTTTGACATAAGCACACGGTTAACAATGGCCGAGCTACTTACAAGCGCAACGAGTATCCACTGGACGAGTGGTAGTATCCACCATTGCTCCCCTTTGTCGTGGTGGTAGTGGAGGTAGTCGTAGCACCGTTGCTGGTCACGGTCTTGACAGTCGTCGTTGTCGTCGTGGTCGAATCTCCCTGGCCGTTGCCTACCAGCATGGACAAGACATCAGACTTTTCGTTCTCGGCGCGCTTACGCATGCGTCGACGCTGATTCTTGGTCAACTTGACTTCCCCCATCGCTGGAGTGCCACCCACAGGGCCAACACGCTTCGGTGGCATTCGCTGTTGCTGCGTGTTCGGCTGTGAGTTTTCGTCACTAACTTCAGCGTCACGAGCGCTACTCTTCTTGTCTTCTTCTTGCTCCTCAGTCTCTTGCTGGTAACGACTACTGCGACGCTGCTGGAACTCCTCCTCATTGCGCAGTAGCTCCTGGATCTTGTCCTCCATCACAGTGCGAACCTTTGCAACCTCATCCGTTGGCCCCTTTAGAGTGATCGAGTTGTCACTACGACGAATGTCAATCATCACGTCTGAGAATTGCTTTTGAAGAGCACGAATATTGGCGCCACTCTTGCCGATTAATGAGCCGACCATGGAGCTCGCGAAGGCTGGCGACACAGTAGTGGGAAGGGCGATAGTCTCGACCACGAAGATCTCCAAAAGATGCTCAATCTTCTCCACTATCCGCTCGCGTTCATCGTGGTCTTCGCCGTACACCACAACCTGCAATTCTCCCTTCTTCTCGCCGTCAATTACGTGGAACTGAATGCCCTTGGCAGCGTCCTTCTTGACTGATAGCGCCACATCCAGCTTGCTTTTGCTGACATCTACAACGGAGGACATGTTCTTGTTGTGAGTGAGCAGTTCTTGAACCTTCTCAGTCGCAAGTTTAATAGCCTCGTTGTCCCTCGAGCTGATAGTAAGCACACGGTCATCATGACGAGAGCCAGAAGGCGATGGAGTGCTCACATCCAGTCGAGCGTTGCTGTCTGTGCTGATTTTCTTGATGGTCTCGCCGTTGCGACCCACGAGAATGGGAACAAGCCAACCAGCAATTGGCAGTTCAACGTGTTGCTTCTTCCAGGCTTCGACGTCCTTTTTGAGCTGCTGTGTGATCTCCTGGGCGTTCTTCTTGGAGTCGGCGAACACCTTTAAGCTGGTCTTGGTGGGCAGCGAGAACACAACGTTGTACTTCGCGCGGAGAGTGGGCAACAGTTCGTACATACGTGTCGCAATGGACGGAGGCAGGTCTTCGAGAGTCTGGAAGCAATCCGTGAAGTAGAACTGCAGCACCGTCTCCACCTCCGCCTTGGCTTCGTACACCTGAGAGGCATTGGTACCCTCAATGCGGATCGTCCCCTCCTCAGTCGCGCCTGAAGCTGCCGGTGAGCGCTTGATGCGAAGCTCACATCCTGTTTGCTTGCAGATCCGCAAAGCGTTATCGTTGAGCTTCGCAGCTTCTCCCTTAACCTCCAGTGCACTGGCAAACGAAATGGAAGGCAAAGGAATGGTCTCCACGAAGTGAGAGTCCGGTGACACCAGCATCTCCAAGAACTTCTTGATCTTGCCGATTCCCATGGCAGGACCACGGATCTTCGCCACCTTGCCGTCGTCCTGTATAGACACTCTCATTCCTTCACCTCCTTCAGCCTCCAATTCCTGGAGACGCATTGCAATCGCCTCGTGCTTCTCCAATAGCGTGGTAAAGTTTGCTGGAACTGGTCCAGCGACACCGCGGGGTAATCCTGCATTGCTCTGTTGTTCCTGTCGAGGTACATGGACACTCTCGACCACGTGCGTTTCCTGTAAAGTCTTCAGCACGTCGTCAACACAGGCCTTGAGAGCTTCAGAGGACGCAGCCTTGACGCGGACCTGGCCACGGTTCGGGAATGCATCCAGCGTGGCCTCTGGATGAGCCAGACGCATCGATTTGATGCGCTCGCCCTTCTTACCGATCAAACAACCCGTTGCAAACGCATCCAGCTGAAGAAGTTGGCGGTTCTGCGTCTGTAAGAGCTCATCGACAGCTTCCTGCACCGTCTTGAGTTGCTCTTCTGTGCCAATCATTTCGAGCTCAGAAGGTTGGCCACCCGTTCCACGCAGCACGCGGACCTTGGCTCCACTCTTGCTCTCAAGTTCCGACACAGTCTCTCCCTTCTTACCGATCACAGTCGGAATTTCGTCGTCATCCAGTGGCAGGTATCGCACGTGATGAGCCTCGTCCAGTTCTTCCAGTTGCTCCTTCGCCTTGTGAATAGACTCCAGTGAACCAGTGAGCGAGATCTTGATCTGATCCGACTCACTGTCGCTACTCCGAGCGGCTCCTTCACGAGGCGGAGGGGGCAGATGCAACTTGCAGCCGCTGTTAGCTTCGATTTCCGACAGCTTCTCGCGCTTGGAGGCCATCAAGACAGCGATCAAGTAGCGCGACGTCACGAAGACCGAGCGCTGGTTGTTGTCCACGATCTCCATGATCTTCGCCTTGGCATTGCCGATCGCTTCATCATCGTCACCGAACACGCAGACGTACGTGTCCTGGATATCGATGCGTACGTTGCCTTCCTTGCCTTCGCTTTCAATCTCCTTGATCTTGCTGCCTTTCTTGCCAATAATGAGGCTCAGCAAGTGATTGTCGACCACCTCGTGCACCCAGTGGTGCTGCTCGAACTCTTTCAGACGTTCACGAAGCGCATCGTCCATCGCGTCGATCTGCTTCTTGTTGCCCAGTACGTGAATGCGACGCTCCTTCTTGAACACCTTGATCCGAGCCTCGGCCGCATCTGTACGTAACAGACGCAGTTGCTTGGCCTTGTCGGCCATGAGGAACTCGGCGAAAAACTCGAACTTGTACTTGGAGAACTCTGGACCCTTGAATAAATCCCTGTCTTCCGGTGTAAAGTTCTTCTCACGTTGCGACTGCTCGTTAATGAGCTCACGGACGAACTTCTCCGCACTAGCCACACTCTCCTTCGTGCCCACAAGCCGCACGTTGTTGGTCACCTTGTCAATGTCCACCAATGCCCCCGTGTCCTCCATCAACTGGTTGATCGTCTCTCCTTTCTTGCCGATCAGCTTCGGGACAACTTCCGACGGCAGCAAGATGTCCACTTTACCAGCTGTCAAGTCGTTAATGGCCTTTTTGAGCTGCTTGGCCTTGTCTGGCGAGGCCTGCACGGTCAAGATGCCGTCCGTCCTACTAATGTCGATCTTGAGCTTGAGCGACTTCTCCAACTCGTGCAGATGCTTGGCTTGCTGGAACATGAGCACCTTGACCGAGTCAGGATGCAGGCCAATGGAGTGAGTGGTAGCCAGAGTGATGTCCTCGATGGCTACTTTGGCCGCCTGCACCTGCTCCGGGGCGCTCGTGATCTTGACGGTATTCAGCTTATTGTCCACCTCGATCATAGCGCAGCACTCCTTCTCCATCTGGTGCACGTGGGCGAACTGCTTGCCAATGACTGCACCCATCTTGTCCGCAGGTACCGTCACCTCGACGGTAACGAAGTCCACCACGGGCTTGTTGATATGCGCTGCGAGCTTGAGTTTACGGATACCCTGCTGTAATTGCTGCAGCGTGGCTTCGTATTCCTTATGTTGCTCGAAGCGCTCCTGACGCTCCTGGCGCGTGCGGTCGATCATGGCTTGAAACTCCTCGCAGGCCTCCTGTTGCGCCAACTTGTCCTTAAGTTGCTGCAACTCGCGCAACAGTACACGCTCGTCGCCGGCCGACATGGACGTGGTGTTGCGGTGCCATTCCTTCTGCTCCATCTCCTCCTTGAGACGCTCCGCCGACATGTTGGGGCGACGCGGAGGGTTCTTGAAGGCCACACGCAGCTTCTCGTCCAGCTGCTTGCCGGCCGCCGCATTGGCCGCTTTGGCAGCGGTTACACTCTCCAGACGCTGCTGCATCTGCTGGAGCATCTCGGCGTCGCTGAGCGTGGACATGGCGGACAAGCGGGCAGGACAAAGGGGACACTTGGGTAGGGCGGGATCTTTTTCACGAATGATAAGGATCGAGGACACGTAAACCGCCGCCGTAGAAATGAATTGACTTTTGTATGCGGCTATTTTTGTCATTACGTGGAAACAGTGTGGTACACATCAAACACAGCAAGAGTGAAGGTCAAGTAGTTGAAGTTTCTCTTAGCGGAACGGAGAGCGTTTGTCCTGATTTTTCCGGTTGACCAGGGTCTTCTTCAAGGCGCTCGAGGCAGTTTCTCGACGGATTTTCAGCACTGTGCCCATGGATTGAGGCGGAGGCGGTGCGGTTGTCGTTGGTGCTGCTGTAGGTGCAGATGATGTGGCCCCAGAGCGGGACATCGACACGGAGCGCACTGCGCGTGGCGGCATGAAGATAGTTGCTGCCTGCTTCTTCGTTACTGTTGCACTAGTGTTTCGGGATACTTTGCCGCCTTTGCGAAAGGGTTTCGCTTTGTGTATCGATGCTACGGGGGTGGGAGGAGGTTGAGAACTGCTCGAATAGATGATCGGGTGGACCGCAGCAGGAGATGCCTGTTGGTGTGCAGCTGGAGATAGCTGTTGGTGGTCCTGTTGTTCGTGTTCAACCTCCGCGTGGTTGTATGTGGGAGGCACCACATTTAAGGAATCGAGTCCGTCTTTGCCGTATCGCTTAGCCATGATCTCGAGCTCTGTGTCCCACGTCGTAGAAGTTGCGCGATGACGAGCATGATCCTGCATGTCGAGCGACGAGAACGGGAGAGCGAGATCGCTGAGATGTGACTGTTGTAGTGCTAAGCGATTCATGAAGCCCTCAAGTGAGCGATCGCGGTTGCTGCTCTGTGAGGCCATCCGAGAGTCTTCGCCACCTCCCACAGCAGTACGCATCTGCTGGAGGACGCGTACGATCGCTGGAGGGTTGGCGTCATGAGCTGGACAAGAAGATGGTAGACCGACTAGTGCGAGGAACTTCGCTCCAGGTTTAATAGTATCTTGAAGTAGCACGGTGAGTTTGGAGCTGTGATAGCGCACGAAGGCCACACCTTTCAGTCGGACCTCAGCAAGTGCCGTCACAAGCGTCTCCGCTCCGTTTTCCACCGCAACTCGCTGTTTAACCTCTTCTGGATTGTCTGTCCAAGGAAGTGATGGCTTTCCAGCAGCTTTCGCACCATTGCCAGCCCCTAGCGCTAACTCAACGATCTGGAGCTTTGATTTGACTGGCGCCGCACCAGTAAGCAAGTTTTCGTACGTCAAACAAACCGTCGCAATTGTGTGTGTAAGCGGCGCGATCAGCGATGGTACTGCACCAGGTTCTCCAAACTGTTGAATTGCATTGGTCGTGAGATACTCACGTCCTCCAGCCAGCACCACGAGAGCCTCCTCTGCGTTCTGCACCTCCAGCACCACAATCTGGCGTACTACGGAGACGTTTGCTGTAGTTTGTGGAGCTGACGTTGTTTCCAGTCCTAGCAAGTCGTACACGGTCTCGTTGAAAACAGCAAGGAAGCTGATGGTGAACTTGGCTCGATGGAATCGCGTATCACTTCCTACAGCTGCGAACAGCTCACGTAGCAGCAACTCTGGAACTGTTTGCTGGGCTGTTGAGCCCCCAATTCGCAGTGGTGGGGCACCTACAAACGTCGTGACGCATGCGTTGCATCCGTCTATGACAGACTGGAGAAGTGGGGTTACAGATTCGTGCCGATCCCATTCGCGGGCTCTGTCGGAGAACACTGCGTCGCACTTGACGCCCAGTACTTCATTAGAGTTGGCGCCACCGTCACGCAGGAACAGTTCACCGTTGCTGTAGTTGGCACGAAGCACTAGCTTGCCTGCCTCCCTTTCATCACTAGCCACAGTATCTGATGATGACTCGACGTTCTGTAGCTGGCAAATGATCAAAGCATCGCGTCTCGCTCGCCAAACCTGCTCATGAAGATGTCGACGTGCCAGTTCGGCGCTATACAACGCCAAACGCAACGGGGCATGCTCGATATGGGCTGTCTGTGCGTATCGTGACGAACGTTCAACGAGAGCCATGACGGGGGCACGAAGTCTGTCTAGGAATCGTCGGAAATCCCCTTGAATTGCCACAAGTGGAGCTCGAGTGTGTGCCAGTGTGGCTCGCATTCCACGCAGCGAGGTGATGGCATCTCTAGCCAAACCATTCACCTGTCGGCGATACACAGCGTGACGCTGAATGGCTGCTTGCTGAGATTGCAAGTGCTCCCGAGCACTAGCTCCATAGGCTTGGAAGGCCTTGGATTCCGCTGTCTTAGCGGCTACTGCCCCCTTAAGTTGGTTCGCTTGATGCTGTAGAGCACCGCGCTCGTCTCGTAGAGTTTCTAGTTCGCGTTCACGAAGTTCAGCGCGTTGACGAGCGGTCTGCAGTTGCTCCCGAAGAGCAGCATTTTCTCGTTCTCGGTGTTCACTCTGTGCCTGCGCCTCCGTCCACTTCTCCATGATTGCTTTGAAGTGGGTGCTGCGTTTACCCATTTCAACCGTGAGGTGTTCTACGTTGTCATGCAGCAATTTCGTCTCCTGCGTTCGCAGTTGGTTCTCTTGACGAAGTTCTTTTGCTGTTACCTCACTTTGCTCGAGCGCGTCACGATCTTCTCTTGCACAGGTACGCAGTGCTGCTAGTTCATCATGTTGCATTGAGATGCACGCGTTCAACTCCATCACCTGCATCGCTCGCTTATGGGCTTCCGCGAGTGCCTTCTCTTTGGCCTTCTTCGCATCCAGGAGTTCTTTCCAGCAGAACTCGCCAGCTTCCGCATCACCAAGCATGGCGGGGGCTAGTTGATCCCTTGCAGAGCCATTGGACGCTGTTGCATCGTGTGATACTGTGGTAGTTTTTCGCTCACTCTCAGCGACGGAGGATCGCAGGGCAAGGACCTCTTTCTGCAGTTGATCGAGCTCCATCAACAGAGAGTGATTGCGCTTTTCCACTTCCCCACGCTTGCTGCGCTCTTCTTGTACCTTTTCCGTCATGTTCACGAGCAGCGAGGCTAACGACTCTGGTTCGGAGTGTGAGTTCGCCATGATGAAGTCTTCTTCAATGTCATCTTCATCTTCTTGTTCATTTTCACACCCCAGTTCCTGCTGGTCTGTCTCCTCCATCAGTTCTTCACGAGATTCCTCATCATCAGATGCAGTGTGTTGATCCATTTTCTCCTCACTCTTGCAAACGCGTGCTGCAGCGAGGATACACTGTTATCGATACAAGCGCGGCTTACAGCAGACACAGCAAGCGTGGTGTATGCAAAACGAAGTAGTTTCTCGCTATGAGGAACGCCACAGTATGGGAGCAGATCATGATGCTCTTCAACTTTTTTATAGTCATGTTGAAGTGACCAAGTATAGATGGCTACAATTTTAGAGTCGTGCATACATTTTCTTCTTCTTGTGTAGCGAGATTCCATCTGAAAAATGTTCCCTGCCGATGGAAAGCTTACACTGGGCGTGAAGGGCCGGCTCAGCAACCAGGAGATGGAACAGCTCCGCAGCCAGGTTCGTCTATCGCAAGCTTGCCAAACCGTACTTTGCTAGAGAATAACATTTGTCGTGCTTCTGTAGCTCGCTCAAGCAGCGGCATACGCTCATGTGCCAGAGCATCAACGTGCTGCTCGAGCTGCAAAGGCCCAGTTGGCTTCAAAGCCTATGACTAAAATTTACCATCGAATAGATCCAGCCAGAGATAGCAGTAGCAATCAAGCACGGCCATCCCGGAAGACGCTGGCGAGCATTCAATACGAGCAGCAGTTTTCAGCAAAGGCGTACGACTCGCTGAAGCCGCGCCCCACTCGTGGCATCGGCACAGATGCCAAGACAATTCTGCAAGATGAGTACGTAACTAAACCACGGGAGGTGAGCTGCATCCCTCAAAGCCTCTCAAAGACGAAGCCAAACGAAGACTCTGAAGCTGGCAACCAGATCTCAAGTGGCAAACGTCGTGGACCTGCATCCATTCCTCAGGTGTTTATCATGTAAAAAGAGTAGCTAAACACTCATTTGAGCTACTTTTTAGTTAAGTTCACAGTCGGTTTGATTCGTTTGGATCAAAACCATCTCAATTGCAATGCATCGAGCGAGCCACGAGAGTATGGCACTTACGACGGCACGTAGCGCCAGCGCGCGCGAGCGTCCAAGTCGTCCTTCTGAGCATGTTGACGCAGTAGCTCCTTCTTCTCGCGTTGTCGCTCCTTCTTACGGCGGTTCTCGCGCTGACGCTTAGTCAGATCATCCACTAATGGCTCTGCTGAAGCAGCAGCTTGCGTGCGACGCGCCTGGCGTTTGGCAGCACTAGAGGCGCCCACCACCTGCCAGCCGTCTTCATCCGACTCGCTCGAGCTCGAGTCCGACAGTTCCTCCTGTACTGCAGCACTTTCCGGCGCTTTTTTCGCCTCAGCAATTCGTGCAGCTTCGCTATCATCATTGCTCTCGTCGCTTTTGGCCGGCCGAATCTTGATGAACTCGGCCGGCACTCGGTATTCCACTTCACCATCGTCGTACTTGAGGTGATACTCGTTGCCCTTGCGTTGCTCCAATATCGTGGCTGGGAACCACTCGTTTCCGCCGCCAAACCTGGCCAGCACCTCCTGATCTACAGCATATCTAGGGGCGTTGGCAGGCGGCAGCGACGCTTTGATCTTCCGGGCAAGGCGAGTGCCACCGAGGTTCTTGGGCTTGAATTTACGCGTGGCTAGCACCTGCGCGGCGGAGAGCCCATCGTCCGAGTCGCTATCGCTAACGTCATCCTCGCTGGCAATTAGTGCAGCCGCAGCAGGAGCTTTTGCTGGGGCTGCAGACCTTTGGAGCTTCTGCGGAGACTGTTGAGGTGGCGACGGAGATTCGGAGGATGCGGATTTCTTGGCGGATTTCTTTTTGCTGCGCTTTTTAACACGTTTAGTGGACGACTGGGGCGCAGGTGGAGATGGAGTCTGCAACCATTTGTACACGAAGAGCGACAACGCCGAGAGCAGCACTGTAAGCACGAGGCGCGCCAAGAACGATAGATCCGCCATCTTCTTTATCTAAATTTGTGTCGTGGTTTCTTTTTATCAATAGAAATGACGAAACTTGTATTTTAAGAGTTAATGAATAGTATTATACTGCGTTTCGTCATTTCTACCGATAAAACACATATTCCATAATAGGGGAGACAAATCTTTGGACTATAATTTTGATTATTTTTTTTTGAGAAAAATACCACCCGCGATAATGACACAATGTTCTTTTCGATAATGACATTGGGTTCATGTTTGACTCCCCACCAACACTTGAGAAGCAAGACGGCGCAGGCGCTTGAGGAGCAGCAAAGTCGCGCCAAATATGGCTTGCACTGTTCGACATTCCCAAAACATCTGACAGACAGCTCTTGATCGGCGAAATCATTAAAAGTCAAGCAATGGCCATTCTAGATGAAGAAGATGATGGTGACTTTGGGTTGTTTCGAGATTATCTGGTCCTGTGGCGGATTGATGAGAACATCACAACCGACGGCGACAAGGCAAACGATGATGAATCAGATACCTGTGGTTCCGTGGATAATTTGGCAAGTTCCTTACCGTTTGAACAGAGGTCGAGGAGCTGGCAAACTCCTCCATTTAGTGATGTCAAAGCGGTATCTCTCTCCAAGAGAATACTCCCCTACTGAGATAATAGAGCGCTTAAGCTGCAGAACCAAAACGATTTTGAGCACGAAACAAAATACCTTTAAAAAAAAAATCCGTTACGGATTTTCTGATTGCGCTTAAGCAAGCGTTGATACGACGATATGATAACCAATCATTTTGCGTCAACGACAAGTTTGCAACACGATGACAGACTCTGGAGACAGCGACGTCTTCTCTATGGATTGCTTGAGCGAGGACGACACTGTATCGCTTCAACTGGGCCAAGATGAGCCTGTAGAGATGTTTGAAGCTGCTGAAGAGAGACAAATAGCGGCATCCGACGACGACGAGGCCGAAAGCGTCGAGGAAGTAGACGAGGTAGAGCTCCGCTCGCGATTCAACGCCACTGCTGACAAAGCTCTGTTGGTCGAGGTGCTAGCGACCCCTCCATTTACAGTTGAGCGTAAGATGGTGACAGCCATGTGGAAAGGGGTTTCAAAGCGGCTTAACCAGAGTTTGTCAACCAACTTCAACTTTCGATCTTGCCGCGATCGTACAGGGCTTCTCCTCCGCCAATATGCTGTACGCAAAGGGTGTAACGAGGCAGCCAGTGGTACAAGTGAGGTGTACACAGACAACGATGATGTTCTACAGCAACTTAAAACTGAAGCCGCAATTCAGAAACAAGTCAGTAAGAAAAATGCTGCCATGAAGACTCAAGAGATTGAGACTGCGGGTCAACGGTTGATGCAGGCAGCTGAAAAACGGTACGCATAATTGCTAACTATGATTCATTTTATTGACTAGTGATGATGTTATGTATGTACTAACAGAGTCTCCGCAAGACTAATTGGTGGGGGTCAAAAGAAACCTCAGAAACGCCGTCGACTTTCGACGTTGCTGCAAAATGAGCAGGAAGAAGCTGTAGAACGTCGGAAACTTGAAGAGCAAAAGGTTAATCTGCATCGGGAAGAGCTCCAGCTGCGCCGCGAGGAATTTGATCACCAGCGTCGCCAACATGAGTTTATCCGTGAGAAGATGCAGCATCAAGCTGCACAACCAAAATCTCTGCTAAAGCTGGTATCTGCTGCAATTAACCAGACGAAACCTAAGCCGTATGTGTATTGAAACTGTTAAAGTGAAAAATACTCGTGCAGTGAAGGAGGTTCCACTCCAAAAAATCTACTGTTGTTGTTTCCCCCTCGGAGAATAGTGATACAATTAGTAAGAACCACTGCTGTCTTGTAAAGCGTTGCTGCAGGAACCCCACCCAAGTACATTTTGCGCTTGAAATCCACACCCGCCCAATAGTTAGTCACTTGACCACACGACCACTCTACCGAGGTCCGTACCACCGCCATTGAGGGGTTGATTTTGGTTTGAGCTGGTGTCAATGCAGATCCTTTAAAAGGTGAAACGAACACATCTGTCCGTCCGTAAGTCTGGTCACCGTAAATAAAATACCCCTGAAATCTTTCGTCAGCCCTGATGCGCTCCTCTAATTGAGACTTTCGTAGCAACGCTATGTCGTGCCGTCTTCCCTCCACTGGTCCATCTAGATGCCAAATTATGCCGTCAGAAGTTACGGCGGTCTGTAATTTGAGCCCGTGTTTCCTCTTGTGTCCATTATAGACGCTTCTTTGAGCTCGAGCTCCTGATGGTCTGCAAATGCCTCGTACTGTCCCATCGACGAATCCCCAGATACTATCCAGCTTAGCACCTTGGTCATATACAGCTTGACAAAACTCCTGCAATAGGTCCAACCCGATTTAGGCTACCATTTAGGATCGACGTGCACTTGGTATTGATCAAGCCTATCACATAGTAGAAAATACTGCTGAGGGCACTAGGCCACCGTCCGTAGATGCTAGACAACTCAAACAATCTACTTGGATAGGAGAGACGATAAAGCGTGATGCACAGACCCTCGAGTCCAGTACAACAGGCACGGGAGCTTGATCCGGTGCGGATAACTTCTGGTAGCCCAAACGAGGCTTGTAGACGACGGAGTTGCCGTTGAGTAAAGCGATAGAAGAGTAGGCAAGCATCGTCTGTGACGACGTCGATGTCAAACCGGACACTAGGGATGGAGAACTGTGGCCCTGAATCGCAGAGTAATGCAATATCATAGTGTCAAAGTCGGGATGCTGTCGCCAAGTCCCCATGGAGCCGCTTAAACCGTGAACATCAACCATTTCCCTCGCAACGCGGCGTTCCTCGAAGATATCGTCGTCGCTGTCCGATTCCATAAGAACAGGCTGTAGAGAGGATAACACAAGCCCACCACTGATTCCGCTTCGTTTTAAAAAGCGGAGACGCAACTAATCGTCGCCTCCAAACGAAAGGAAACGTAAAAGATCAAAAATTATCATATTTTCTTCAGATTTGCGTTTCGTTCTGAACTGCTTAAGCGCTCTAATACTGAAGTATCATCATTTCCTTAGATAAAAAGAAATACAAAAAGGCTTCGTTTAAATAATTATATTCGTCATTTCTATGAAGGGAAAATATTATTATTGAAAACAACGATTGAGAGCATTTGTGCGCATCTAACTCCGACGCAAAGCTCAGATATGATATGACGACGAGATCGCGCCATTTACACGCGCTCGTAACGAAAATAGCACCCTCACGAAAGTTTAGAAAGCATCTCCTTATGTAGTACCAGACAGTAACGAGACTTCAAAGATGACAACATCTGGAGATGTACCCAGTGCTGGATCTGATGAAATCAAAAGCACTGGACAAGTGACGCGGCCAGCCTGGACATGGCGATGTTGAAGTGGATTGGACCTGAGGGATCTGCGATGTCGGACTCCTGGATTGTCAGGACCCCACTCTACAGTGTCCGAGTCTGAAACTCTTGACTCCCATCGGTGTTTACTGCAACCTCTAATTTTGTGATCCTTGACCCAATCGTCCTGATCCAGTTGTCCTAACTCAGGATCTTCCAGGTTCATCCACTTATATCGTCAATCTCCACTTGGAGACACGAGATCTCGGGTTTGCCCGATCTCTCGATCTACGTGATCCAGTCATCCTTGTGAGTCATCGCCGTCATATTGCCTTCATCGTGGCACCCTTCGTCCCAATTCATCACTCGTCCACGTGGTCATGATAAAGCAAGAAGAGACTTTAAAGCCTATCTGCAGGATGCAATTCCATGTGAAAATGTATAACGAATCTATACGAACAAGATTCGATCTACATTGATGAAAGTGGCGGTGCCTTGCAACGTCAGAATACTAAACGCCTAGATGTAGCGGAGGGTATCCTCGACTAGTTACCATATATATAAGTAGACATTTGGAATCAGCTGCACGAACCTCTGCTGCACATCGAACCATTAACTCCACCTCAAGCTTAAGCTCTGTTAATGTGTCCGTAACATCAACTCTAGTAGTGTGGCTGGTAAGACGAGTTTCTAATGCAATCATGCAGTTTCATTTCCTTTTCCGATGTTACGAACCAGTCTGACTGCAGATGCTTCACAGACGGTCACCATTTACTTTGTACTGTGATGATGTACAGTCAGTACCGTGTACCTGAGTCGTTGCAGTGCACCTATTCTGCAGGTAAATTAAAGCTATTATCACATAACCAGGCTGGACTCTTCGAAATACACAATTTATTATGTATTGTTGTAAAATTTACAACAATACTTAGTAAATTGTGTATTTCAACAACATTATTTAATAAAGCTGTGGTCAATGCAGTATTTCAACAACTAATTCTCGATTTGCAGCCTCGCTTGCACCACGAATTGAGATCACCCCAAGAATACCCCTTCCACTCTCCACAGTGGACATCTACGCATCTCTCCCAACCCCGACGGATACCGCGATGGCCGACAACGCAGCACCCGATGTGGATGCGATGCACCCTGAGCAATCCGTTCTTCATGCACCCGGTGAGCTACGGGCTCCTATGGACACCGAGGAGCGCGCCTCGTAATCTGACTCACAGCCATCTATTGTGACCACTACTACCACTGCTAATGGTTTCAAAACGGCGACGGTGCCTGATACCGAAGGTCCAAGCTCTCCGTCACCGACTCACCGTTTGTCTTTCCGCAATGCGGTGACTGGCGCGCAGGACCCAGGTGCGTCTCCGCAGGCATCTCGAGCTCGTCTGGGTGGGGATAGCAACTATTC